GTAAGCTGTAGGAGGAACAAGTTTCTTTTGTTACTTACAGTTCGAATCAGAGTGCGCTCGATTCGTTTCTTGATAACAGCGGATAGCTCATCAGGTGTGACTTGTCCTTTCCCGATTGTTAACCCGTCTAAGAAAAGCTTGTTCCATTGTTCCTCAGGAGCTGAAAACACACAAACACATGTGAAGTCTTTGGGCCTACTACATGGAAAAGAGGTTGCAGAAGAGACCTTTGATCAGAGTTTCGAGAAAATGCTCGGACTTTACAACTTCGTTCCCTGTGATAGCAACAATCACAAGCTCTACTCAATTGATGACATTTGTATGAGTTTAGAGATGAAAACCTGATGAGATTTTTCCCTTTGTAGAAAAAATGAAAGCCTGCTAAGTACCTTTCTTTGCGTAGCTACGCTTGGAGAGAATCGTAGCAGCGTAGAGTTGAAGAACCTTTTGCAGCATAGCCGCAAGCCCTGGTTTGTCTTTATCTTCTTTTGCCTGAAAACAACCTTCAGCCTCAAACTATCAAACTAAACACTGTAAAAAGAAAGACCTTTTTTTCTTCACAACATCCGCCAGTTTTGAACCCCGAACTCCGTTTTGAATAGAAGTCAATTGTTTGTTTGCTAAATTGCTACCATTTTACAAGTGAAACAAAACAAAAAGCATTGCACTTACCTGCCGTAGCTGAGCACTAACTTCTGAAAGAAATCCTTCATCTAATTGCCCTTCTTTTTCCCGTTGTATTATTTCCTGTGAAAACATTGACTATAATCACATCAAGAAATCCAAAACTAGATAACCCTTCTGGATATCTGAGGCAGAAGAGATTGTATACGAAACAAAAGCGTAGATGTAAAACATGTCTTGTGGTCAAAGGAAAGTGAAGAACAACAAGTATACCACTTCCATTTGATTGATGGCTTCAGGATCTCTTGGAGGCCATGAAATTTCTTCCACTCCTTCCACAACGGGTCTTAAAATCCCTTTCAGAACATCGGTAGACGATTCAATCTTTTCCTAGAGGGATATAATGAATTCTCAGTTATTTTGT